AGCTACAATGCAGAGATGAACACCTGGTCTGTTTTTCCTCCCATGCAACCAGGTGTATAGCAAGGTAGACATTCAGTTCCCAAATGCCCTGGGCAACTACAATGCAGAGATGAACACCTGGTCTGTTTTTCCTCCCATGCAACCAGGTGTATAGGAGCCTTCCCTCCTACCCTCACCTGTAGTTATAACTGCTGTACTCGAAATCAACCAGCATGAGACTGTCAGCATTTTCAGGCTCTGAGAGCAATAGGATGTTCCCTGGGGGAATGGGATGGGGTTCGGATCACATGAGGGCCCTTTGGCCCCTCTACCCTGGATTGGAAAACTTCTCCTACCTTCTTGGATGTCATTGTGGCAGAAGACCACCGGCGATGGCGTAGAATCTAGCAGCTTTCTATAAGGGTAGGAGAGGCAAGGGTACTGATTAGGAATGACTAGAGTCACCCTCGTAGGCTAGGCCATGACCCAAACCCTAAGTAGATCCTGGGGAGAACTCCTAGTTTCTTGGTGCTACCTTCCTCACACCCACAACTTGCCTGCCCTTACCTGAGGTTGCCCATCTCATCCTTCAGGCTGTACATCTCCAGCAGATTCATATTGAGGAGGCCAGTGGGAGGCAAGTCCTGGATCTGCTTTAGGTACCTGAAGCCCAAAGAATAGAATACACTCACTCTGCTGTCCTTACCTTCTCTCCCAACTACCCTTGAAACCAGATTAAGTCATTCTATTGGCTGAGAAGCATGGGTGCCCATACCAGATACTGGAATGCCTAATTCACTTGACTGTAGGGCTGGACAGAATTTGGTTCAGTTCAGGTGTATGCCAGTTCAGGTAAGTCCTAAGCCTGACTTACCGTTCCATGGTCCCAAACAGCCAGTGGGGCTCCTTGGTGAACGGCATCTCCATGCCATGGAATCGGGCCATCTTCGTGGCAATGGCTGCTGATAACACTGGCTCTCGAAGCTCCCGAGTTTTCAATGGTCGGCTCTGCACCCAGGAACCTATCAGGGTGGTGAGGGGGCAGGGGCAGGAGGGGGAAGGGGTAGGGGAATGGGAGGAGGCCAAAGTCTTGGGGAAAAGACTGGGATGTGAATGCAGACACTGGGGAAGGAATAGGGACTGAGGGGAGAAGGCGATTTGGGGAGAAGAGGGCTGGGTTCATACTGGGAGGTACTGTTCCAGCCGGCCCTCTGGAAAGACTCCATAGAGCTGGGGACCCAGCGACCGCTCTGCAAGAATGGCAAACATCACGCTTTCTAGGACCAAGGAGTCTACACCCTGAAGGAAGATGGACAGTAAAGGGGCATGTCAGGAGGACCCAAGGCAGTGGGGCACTGGCACATATAGGAGCGTTTGCTTTCTGTGCCCGCCATAGTTGGAACTATCTACTACCTGGAGGCTCTGGAGCCACAAGTTCTAGTATGATAAAGTACAAATCACTGAGTCCCTGGCCTCAACGGCACAATGGGGACGACACTACCAGCACGACTTCAGGCTGTTGGGGCCATCCTGCAGCCCTAACTCCCTCTTACCTGCAGGATGGCCCCATACAGCCGCAGCAGCACCTCCCGGGGCTCCTCGCCAACGCTGGGCAGGTGGTCCGGGAGCGAGCAGCGGAAGAGCAGGTTGCTGAGACCTCCGCTGCAGACCCACATCAGGCACCCTCAGCAGGAGAAAGTCCCTCACAGTGCGACCTAGCCCCTCCCGGCTCTGCCCCCCGCGGGCCCCGCCCCTAGCCCCGCCCCCGGGCCAGCCCTCCGCGGGCCCCGCCCCCGAGCCCAGCCCTCCGCGGGCCCCGCCCCACCCAAGGCGTGAGCACTCGGAGGCGGCAGAAGCGGGAAAATCTCGAGGACTCCGAGGCTGACCCTTGACCCTGGCCCCGGCGGCGCACAGGAGGGGCTAACCCCTGACCTCCCACCTCACAGGGAAAACCCTCAGCTCTTCCGGCCGCACTCGGCGCCAGGCCCCGCCCAGGTACTCCCGGCACCATTGGTAGGCTCGGCGCTCGGCGTCACGCGACAGCGACGAGGAGCGCCGCCGGGTCGGGGCCGCGTCCGGGGATTTAGACTGCCACAAGCTGTCCTTGGCCAGGTGGCCGCCGACAGCCCCGCCTTCGGTCACAGTTGTCCCGCCTTCGGCCGCAGTGCTCCCCTCCGCCGCCATGGCGCGGGCTCCGCCGGGCCCAACGCCCAGTTGCGCTCAGCTCCCTTCGGACGGATTCGGCTTCTTCCGGCCGCGCTCGGCTCCGCTTCCGGCTGGTCTGCGCTTCTCCGGTCATACTCGGGCCTCTCCGGCTCAACTCGGCTCTCTCCGTGACCTCAGTTTTCCGAAGGCCCCAAATGCCGAGAGTCTTCGCTGAGCCCCTCCCCTGTGCAAGGCAAAAAGCAAAGGCTCTTTCCCTGGGTGGGTCGCTTGTCGGCACGCCCCTCTGGGCGGGGGTCGTTGGAAAGACCGGGAGCTGTGTGGGCCGTGGCCCGGAACTAAGAAAGTGTATTGGCCAATCAGAACCGTGAGCGGTGAGGCCTACGACACGTGGGCGGGGCGCGCCCTCTGCAGGATCCTGCGGGAGGCCCGGACGGTGGAGGTGAGCCCTGGGGGCTCCCGCACAGCGTCGCTGTTCTGCGCAGTGTGGTTTAGAGTCTTAGGATGCGTGAGAGACGCACGTCTAGGTTGAGGGAAGTGGGGGTATATGGTGCGTGCAATAAACGTTTATTGTGCGAGTGAAAGAATGGGGCTGTTTGAACAGTTCCGATGACTCCTGGCAACTCAGTAATGAAACCTTGGCTGCCGCTTGAAGTTGTCGTCTTCGCGCCCCCTTCACTCACCAATTCTGTGATTGTTTCCAGACCTAGAACCAATTGCAGAATCAAGCTCTGGAGCAGACATCTGGGGTTTTGTAAGTTCTCCTTGGCCCACCTGGGCTGTTTGGAGTGCTCAGACTCACTTCCCAGGAGGGCATCCTATGGTAAATGCATGTGGGTGTGGTGGTCAGGAGGTTTGACCCACTAGGATTTGTGGCATCTTGTGTTGAACCTCGGTGCTCTTTGGGATAAAACACATGGGCAACTAACTAACTCGAATGACCAGAAAGAAATCAAGAATGGGAAGGCAAATGTCAGTTGCTGCCTCAGAAAATCTTGATCCCTCACTCCATTTAAATCTGAGCCAGTTCTGAGACCCCAAAGCCCATTGATTGAAAGGGAGGGTTCCCTTGAGGACAGATTCTAGAGTGCTACCATAAATATACACAAGAAATATTTCCCCACTCCTTCCCTAAAGGTGCCTAGAGGCACTTAAATAACTAATTTGTTATGGAAAAGGGATTATCCAGAACTCCGAAGGTTAGATACAGGACTTGAGCTGACGCCAGGGCACCTGAAGCATCCTGGTCTTCTGATTAGAGTAGGGGCTTATGAAAATCTCATGAAAAATAAAATTCTGCCCCAACTCCTTGTGGTAGTTTCCCTGGTCCTAATGTGTGCTTGGATGGTTATACCTAACAGTAAGCAGAGCTCATACGTTGATTCCTGACTTGTAGATAAGAACCATGTGGCAGGAGGAGCAAAGTAGAAACTCCCCACCCTAGTGGTCCCCCCAGGGTTGTAAATCAGAAGCAACACTGCCTTCCAGGTGAATTTGTATGAATTGTGTCACCTTCCCATTTCACACCTTCATTTCACCTAGATGGTCCCTGAAAATCCAAATATATTCATGTAAATGAAGGTGGACTACCATAGACTTAGCCAAGTAGTGTTCCCAGTCTCAGCAGCCATGCCTGGTGTGATGTCTTTATTGGAACCAATTAATGCACCTCTGTCATTGATAATGAAGTTACTGATATACCGAACGTTATTTTCAATTCCCAATAGTAAAGAGGATCTAAAGCAGATAACATTTATATGGGAAGGACAGCCATATGCATTATGTGGCTCCAAGGCTGTTTTAACTCTCCTGCTTTCTGTTACAACATAGTCTGTAAGGACCTTATCATCTGGACATTCTACAAGTCATAAATGACGTCATACTAGTTTGACATGGTGAAGAAGGAAGTGACACTGATGCTCATAAACATTTATGCTCTAACATTTATGCTCAGACCATAAATGTTAGAGGATATAGCCTCCAAAGTTATAGAATCTGTTGTATCTTAGTGGTACAATGTTCTAGGGCAAGCTGGGGCATTGCCTCTGAAGTAAGGAATTATTGTATTATGCAACCCAATCAAGAAGAAAGAGGCATAGCTTTAATGAACTTCTCTACTTGGAGCCAGCATTTACTATGGAATATAGTAATATATTCTCTCTCTATATATATATATATAGCCCCATTTTGGGGATAGCTTGGTAAACTGCCAGTTTTGAGTGGGGCATAGAGAAAAAGAAGTCTTTCCTGAAGATCTAGATTGGGGGATGGGCTCCCCTGCCATTTAGCAGAACCAGTGGGCTGGGTTGGGCTCATCTGTGGAAGAAAAGGCCCTAAGTGGTACCTCTAGCAAGCCCCAGTAGGAGGTTTGTAGTACACCTGTTAAGATCACTTGCCAGGTAAAAACAGCCCCTGGCATGCTACCACACCCAAGTAGAGTCTGAACACCTGATTGGGGCACCAAATGACCTTGCAACTCAGTCTGCTTGTCCTGGGATAGACATTGTCGTATCTACCAAGTAATAAGAATAATTCATTCATTGTTCAATGAAAAAGGTATCCTTGGGAATGGAGCCAACCTTTTCCATGAGGGAGCAGTCATCTACAGGACAAGGTGACTGTGGTCCCACACCTGCTACCTTGTTGCACCAATGCCTGTCTATCAACAGAAAATACAAATCGGGTCCGGTTCACAGTGGGTCATCTTGATGTATTACGAGCTGAAAATGAACTGCTGCTTGCTGTGTGGCAGTCCCATTCAGGGTGATGATAAGGGGAATCCTCTGTGAGCAGAACCTCATGCAGTGCCGAGGCTATCACTTGGTACAGAGTGAGTAGATGGAGTTTATGGAAGTTCAGGTGGAATCCTGGGTGTGACAGTGTCGGTTGGTCAGGAAAGGGCCAGAGCAGAAGACTAGAGACTGGAGGTCTGGGGAAACAGCTGGACCCAGGGAGTGGTCACAGCATGTGTGAATCTTTGTGCCTCCTCATGGCAGGGGAGTCACTGAACAAGACAGAGACACCAGCCTCTGTCTTCCTGTACTATACAGTGAGCTAGCTCATGGTTGGAGGTGCCATGGTAACAGGAATGCAGGTTTTGCCTACTAACTCGGGCTTGTTGTTATCGAGTTAGAGCATAATGATATGTTGACTGACCTGTTAGCAGCTGAGATCAAGCTGAGCTTCTGTTGTACTGCCATTTATAGACAATATCAGCTAGTCATTCTAGCAGGTTGGTTACAGCCCACCCTTTCTATCCCATTCATCTTTTTTTTTTTTTTTTGAACTGGGGATTAAACTCGGGCACTAAGCACCAAGTCATATGTCCAGCCCCTATTTTGTATTTTATTTAGAGACAGGGTCTTGCTGAGTTTCTTAGTGCTTTGCTTTTGCTGAGGCTGGCTATGAACTTGTGATCCTCCTGCCTCAGCTTCATGAGCTGCTGGGATTACAGGTGTGCAACACTGTTCCTGGCTGATTTATCTTCATTGGAACTGAAAACTTCTCTGAGTGTGGATTTACCTTCCCTATCCACAGTGTCTCAGGCAACGTCACTATCCAGGAGTTAGAGAATGCTTAGTTTACCAGTGTGGGATCATGTATAACATTGCCTCAGGCCAAAAAACTCTTACAGTGAAAGGGATGTGGCAATATGTGGAATGCCATGGATCCACCGCTTCTCTGAGATCCTGCATTACCCACAAGAAGCTAGTCTAATGAAAAGATAGAATGACCTCTTTTTTTAATATTTATTTTTAAATTTTAGGTGGACACAGTATCTTTGTTTTACATTTATATGGTGCTGAGGATCAAACCCAGTGCCTTGTGCATGCTAGGCAAACACTCTACCACCAGCCACAACCCCAGCCCTAGAATGACCTCTAAAGGCTGAGCTAAGGTCTTGGCTTTGGGACAGTATCCTGAGAAGTTGGGGTATGTGCACTGAATCAAAACCCCATATGTGATGCTGATCCACTAAGAGTCAGCAAGTGAGGATTGGGGAGCAAAAACACAGGTCCACGAACCTAGAGGCTGGAATTAACTATTTCTCACCATTGTCTAGCAACTCACATGTAAAACATTCTCTGTCTCCACAGCCTTAGGATCCACTGGAGTTGGGCTGTTTCCATGAGGGGATCCCACTGATGGGCAGGGAAGGATGCTGGACCTGAATCTGCAGACACAACTATATTATTCTGAGCTCTTGCTGGTGGACTTGCAGGCAAAAGAGGAAGGTATAACAGACCCAGGCTGTTAGGAGGCTGTTGAGTGTTACCACACAACTGGCACTTAGAGGAGTTGTGCATTGGAGTACTTCCATGAGAGGTACTAGTGCAGCAGACGCTGTCAACAACAGGGGCTCATACCCCTCAGGGGTGAAGGTCTGGGTACCCCATTAGGCAAGCTGTGGTACCCAGCTGGTGAGGCAGGGGAGGGTCATGATGAATGTTGCTTACATCCCTGGGTGCCTCAGCAGCAGTGGCGACTCTACTTGCTGTATTTCTTGCACCAAGTCTCTTGTAGAGGTGGTGACCAGCCTTCCCATTGAAGGACCTCATTCCACCTTAAATTGCTGTGGACCCACAGAGCTGCCTCTAAGGCACCCGCCACGCCACGTATCTGTGTTTTGTACTTCCTGCCCCAGGAACCCTCTGGTACAGCAGGAGCCTGCAGGGTCTGCTTACCAGCACTGTTCCCAACAGCCGAGACAAGAAATCAACCCCAGTCCATCCAGGGACTAATGGATAAAGGAAGTGTGATATATGATGGAATTTTACTCAGCCACAAAAAGAAGGGAATCTTTCAATTAAAAAACTTTTTTAGTTGTAGATGGACACAATACCTTTATTTTATTTATTTATTTTTATGTGGAGCTAAGGATCAAACTCAGTGCCTCACACTTTCTAGGCAAGTGTTCTACCAGTGAGCCACAATTCCAGCCCCAAATCTTTCAATTTTTAACAACATGAATGAACCTAGAAAACATCCTAAGTGAATAAGCCAGACACAGAAAGACAAATGCTGTGTGATGTCACTCACATAAGGAATAGAAGCATCAGAGAAAGCAGTGTAACCTGGCTTGGAGGTAGGAGAAATGGGGAGATGTTGGTCAAAGGGTGCAGACTTTGAGTTATAAGATAAGCAGGTTCTGGGCACCTGAAGTACAGTGTGGATGGTTATAGGTGTGATCGTTAATTTGATTGTAGTGTTGGTTATGCAGTGTATACATGCGTCAAATTATAAAGAGAAGGTATGTTAAATGTATTGGATCTGTTAGGATTGTGAACCGTAATTGAGCTAATTTTTACCCATGACTTGATTAGTATCCATATGCTGGTGACAAAAAAATAAATTGACTAGGCATAATACTCTTGGGTAACTGTGTTAATTTCCAATTGTTGCTGTAACAAGTTACCATAAACTTAGTGACGTAAAATAACAGAAGTTTATTCTTTCATAGTTCAGGAGGCCAGAAATCAAGGTGAGGGTAAGGTTGCACTTCCTCCAGAGGCTTCAGGGAAAACCTGCTCTTTGTGTCATAGGCATTCTTCTTTTTTTCTAAATATCTTATTAGTTGTTGGTGGACCTTTATTTATTTTTATGTGATGCCGAGGACCGAACCCAGTGCCTCACACGTGCTAGGCAAGCGCTCTACCACCGAGTCACAATCCAGGCCTACTATAAGCATTCTTTTTTTTTTTTTTTAAAGAGGGGGTGGGGGGGGGGGGGGGGTGGGGGAAAGAGAGAGAATTTTTAATATTTATTTTTTAGTTCTCGGCGGACACAACATCTTTGTTGGTATGTGGTGCTGAGGATCGAACCCGGGCCGCACGCATGCCAGGCGAGCGCGCTACTGCTTGAGCCACATCCCCAGCCCCACTATAAGCATTCTTTAGCTTGTGGCAGCATCCTTCTGATCTCTGTCACCATAGTCAAGCTGCATCTTCTTCATTCATCTGCTCAATGTCCTTCTGCCTCTCTTTTATGAGGAATTTGTGATTGCATTAGGGTCTACCTGGATAAACCAAATGATCTCCTTATCTTGGAATCCTTAATCACCTTACCAAAGATTCTTTAAATTTTTTTTTTTTAGTTGTAGATGGATGCAATACCTTTATTTTATTTTTTAAAATGTGGTGCTGAGGATTGAACCCAGTGCCCCACGCATGCAAGGCAAGCACACTTCCAATGAGCCACAACCTCAGCCCCTATTTTTTTTTTTTTAAGAGTGAAAGGAGTAAGATCTATTCAAGAATAGAAACAAAACTCTCAGAGGATAAGAGGGGACCCCATATCAGATTTCCAAAGATTCTGTTTTCAAACAAGGTCACACTTGCCAGGATTAAGGTATGGATTTTACTCACAACATTCAGCCCCTCACTCCATGTGTCCTAGTCCTTAAATATTGCAGTTAGAAAGTTCTGAGTTCAGCCTGATTTTTCTTCCTTGGATGTTGATACTGCAAGCTTGATCCTTATCTCCATTACAGACCTAATAATAAAGACAAGATTTTGAGAAAAAGAAAAAACATCTTACTGATTTGCAAGCAAAGGAGAAACACAGGAGTCTCCTATCCCAGAGGCTGTGATTCTCTTTCCCAGGGGAAACACAGGGCTTTTAAAATAGAAATACAAGTGCAGGGGTCCAGATATCATCAGTAGATAGAATTAATTTATGTCCATTAGATGTCCTTGAAGGAGCCATTGCTCCAGGCCTGGGTCTGGAATTTTTTTTAGTCTGGTGGGTAGTGATATCCTTCCAGATATGAAGGACATGGTAGCTTAGCCAGGGTTGGTAAATTGGTAGCCATGATTTCCCCACTATTATGGAAGGGAAGGGGAAGAAGAGGAGGAAAAATGTCAGTTTTAAAGTAAACCATGCTTACAGGACCCTAAATGTACACCAAGGCACATTATAATAAAAATGCCTAGCTTATAGGAAAAGGATAGAATTTTAAAGGCCACAAGAGAAAAGTATTAGATTACATATAGGGGAAAACCAATTTGGACCTCAGCTGGTATCTCAGCCCAGATCCTCAGAGGTGGGTCCTGGAACAACATCTACCAAGCTCTGAAAGAAAATGGATCCCAACCAAAAATTTTATATACAGCAAAACTAAGCTTCAGATTTGAAGATGAAATAAAAACCCTCCATAATAAACAAAAATTAAAAGAATTCCCAACTAGAAAGCCTATATGACAGAACATTTTCAGCAAAATATTCCATGAGGAGGAAATGAAAGAAAAAAGTGAAAACCAGCAAAGGGAGGGACTACACTAAAGGAAGAGGAAAAGGAGAAACTTAAGTCAAATTAAAAACTAGAAATAAACCAAAAAGACCAGGAATACAAATCATATCTCAATAATAACGCTGAATGTTAATGGCCTAAACTCATCAATCAAAAGACACAGACTGGCAGATTGATTAAAAAACAAGATCCAACAATATGTTGTCTCCAAGGCAAAGACATCCACAGACTGAAGGTGAAAGGATGGGAGAAAACATATCACTCACATGGACCATGTAAACAAGCAGGGGTTTACATCCTCAGATAAAATGAACTTCAAGCCAAAGTTAGAAGGACATTTCATACTGCTTAAGAGAATTATATATCAACAAGACATAACAATCACAAATATTTATGCCCCAAACAATGGAGCATCTATGTACAACAAACAACCCTTCTCAATTTCAAGAATCAAATAGACCACAACACAAAAACACTGGGTGATTTTAACACACCTCTCTCACTACTGGATAGATCTTCCAAACAAAAACTGAACAAATTATAGAACTAAATAATACAATCAATAATTTGGACTTAACATACATAGAATATTGCATCCATCAATGAGTAAATACACTTTCTACTCAGCAGCACATGGATCCTTCTCTAAAATAAACCATATTCCACAAAGAAACTCTTAGCAAATGCGAAAAAATAGATACTACCTTGGCATTCTATCAGATCATAATGGAATGAAATTAGAAATAGTAAAATATTAAAATAAATTAGAAGATACTTCAACACCTGGAATAATATGCTATTGAATGATGAATGGATATCAGAAGAAATCAGGGATGAGATAAAATACTTAGAGATAAATGAAAACAATGATACAACATATCAAAATCTCTGGGACACTAAGAGGAAAGTTCATTGTATTAAGCTCATTCATTAAAATAATAGAAAGTCAATAAATGAATGACCTAACATTACATCTCAAAGACTTAGAAAAAGAACAAAAAGTCAATACCAAGAGCAGTAGAATACAGGAAATAGTTAAAATCAGCGCTGAAATCCATGAAGTTGAAACAAACAATTTAAAAAATTGGCAAAACAGGTCCTTGAAAAAATAGATAAAATTTATAAACCCTTTGCAATGCTAATGAAGAGAAAGAGAAAGAAAACTCAAATTACTAAAATTCGTGATAAAAAAGGAAATATCACAATGGTACTACTGAAATACAGAAGATAATTAGAAACTATTTTGAACAAACTATAGAACTAAATAATTTATACTAAAGAATTTATACTCCAATAAATAAAAAATCCTGAAGACATTGATGAATTTCTAGTGACATGACTTACCCAAACTGAATCAGGAGGACATACATAATTTAAACAGATTAATTTCAAGCAAAAAGAAATAGAAGATACCATCAAAAGCCGACCAATCAAGAAAAGCCCAGGACCAGATGGATTCTAGCTGAGTTCTACAAGGCCTTCAAAGAAGAATTAATACCAATATTCCTCAGATTATTCCATGAAAGAAAAAATGAGGGAATCCTTCCAAACTCATTCTATGAGGGTAGTGTCACCATCATACCAAAAGCAGACAAAGACACATCAAGGGAACAAAATCAGACCAATATCCCTGATGAACATAGATGCAAAAGTTCTCAATTAAATTCTGGAAAATTGAATACAAAAACATATTTAAAAAGATAGTGCACCACAATCAAGTGGGGTTCATCTCAGGGATGCAAGATTGGTTCAACATATGGAAATCAATAAATGTAATTCATCACATCAACAGACTTAAAGATAAGACTCATATGATCATCTCAATAGATCAAGAAAAAGCATTTGACAAAATATAGCACCCCTTCATGTTCAAAACACTAGAAAAACTAGGAATAATAGGAACATACCTCTCATTGTAAAAGCTATCTATGCAAAACACAAGGGCAACATCATATTATTATTTAATTTTTAAAATTTTTTTAATATTTAGGGCTGGGGATGTGGCTCAAGCGGTAGCACGCTCGTCTGGCATGCGTGCGGCCTGGGTTCGATCCTCAGCACCACATACCAACAAAGATGTTGTGTCCGCCAAGAACTAAAAAATAAAT